TTACGGTTTCCAGTAGGGAACAAATGCTACATGAGGAAGCAAGAAAAAATAGAATGGACTTTCCAAATTTGTATGGCTCATCATGAAGTTACTCCAAGTTTTCATATCATCATATTTTTTCCTCTCTCTTAGAGAGAAAATGCTTGCATTCTCTGTCAGTTTTTTAGCATCTGACAAATACAATAAAAGGGAACACATTTTTCATTTGTATTAATTAAATTCTGATCAAGACATTGATTATTTTAGTCTCTGAAAGACAAAAGGGAAGTTTTTTGCAGAAGATAATTCATATACTGCAAAATGCATGGCAGATATCCTCTAATGCTTAGCAAAAAAAAAAAAAAAAAGCAAGGGAAAAATTATTTTAAAAAGAAATACATTTTGATTCAGTACAACTAATTTTTATCTTCTAATCTCAACTAGTTTTTTTTACAAAAATTGTATTTTTATTCATGACAAGATGCTCTGATTATCAGGCTGTTATAGCACATGTGATCAAAACTACCTTGTTCTTAAAGGCATCTATTATCAGATCACTTTTGCCCTTGAAAGTGCCCAATCTAACCTACAAGCACTGGAGAGGGAAATAAATTCAGAAAAATATCTGTACCTCGCGCCTTTCAGCAGCCAGTCTATGCAGCTTCCTTGCTACCCTGAAGGCTGTCTTAACTGAGTTAGTTCATGGGCTCTGTCTTTTAAGAAACTGACTGTAATGAGATCTGCTGCTAAACAGCAGCAAGGTTTTCTGCATCATATCATATGATCTAGCAAAAAATAACTTACAGGGCTTTAAATATATAATACAAACATTTATCATATAAGATCCGGAACTGATATTTGAAGGCAAGTTTGAATTTTGTTTCCTTGACAGCTAACGTGGTAATATAAAATGTTGTCCCTCTACAATTTAAAAACATTTTTAATGCCAGAATGCCCACACTATATACATACAAAAAGTTATATGAAACAACAACATACATTTCCACAGTAAGCACTTATGCGCATTTTGTTTATTTATGGAGGCATTTTCCGACTAAGAATGTGAGAATTCACACTGTACTTGTGTTGAGAATGGGAATTGGGCTGCCATACAGGACACAGAAACAGCTGTTAGTTTCAAATCATTAGCCAATCCTTTGCATTAAGTTAGTCATCTATCCTGAATGTGGGCAGATCAGATCAGAAATGGGTAGAGGCCTCTTTACATCATCTAGTCCAACTTACTTAAAATATGTATGTATTCTTATAGTTGGGTATGTAGATATACCTTAGATTGTTACACCCAGAGGACAGGAACAGATTGGAAAAATACTTAATTAGACACAAGTGCTTTTTCAAAAAAAAAACAAAAACAAAGGGATTTTCCTGAAAAGGTCAGTGGGAACAGTTGTACCTTATTTTGCAAACTCTTGAATGCTCTAGATAATCAACAAGTGTTACGATCAAAAAAATGAGCTGTCATTAAATGTTCACTGAGATTCACAAATGCAACAGACAGTTTTACAATGCTTCCATCAAACTGTAATTGAAATGGAAAAGCCTTTGAATAAATTAGCATATTTTGAGTCATGCACATAGGAATTTTTATGTGGATGGTAGTATGATGGGAGAAGCATAACATTAGTAGAGCTGTTTCCTTACTGTTGCTGTTTGCCTCATTTACTAACACTAGTAGGGAAGAAAGCTGTCTTAGAAATCTTGTTTTCTCAATAAATTTTACAAATATAGAGCTGCCTATTTAAAGCTACTGTATGTATCCAGGGACATTTTTATGCATGTACAATTTCAATTTACACTTTCTCTGATATACAGCTAGATGAGAAAAATGTTCATCAAGAAATCTTTAAACATTTCCAGGAAAGTGGAATAGTTTCCCTGAACAACATTCTGCAGATTTTTTTTATGACAATAACAATCAACCAAAATTAAAAGACATTAACATTTAAGTTTAGCATAGGAGCATCCTTTGTGCAACACAAGTATTATTAAGTATTTTTTAAATGGAAATTTACCAAAGCCAGGGACATTTTTAAATCTGTGAGAGATCTATCAATGGACAAAAGAGAAAGAAAGACCACATGTTGAGTGCATGCTTGATAGTCTGTGCAATTTATTGTGAAGTACCTCTTGTACTAGGCCTGCCACAGAGCCATTGGTTTGAAAGGTTAATGACTGCTGCAATCACAATTTCAATTTACAAGAAATGGGATGACAAGAAACCAAATACAAAATGGAGAGGTCCCACTGTGATGGCAGCTGAGCAACAATTCATCAACAAGAGTGCATGAGGATTGTAAAGCCAGAGTGCTAAGGACAATCTGGGAGGGCTCAGGACTTCTTTTAATCTCATTTTTCAAGGATAGCATAGATTTTAAATGGAAAAATTGATGAATACTCATAAGTCATCCTTTCATGCTTTTCCTTGTAACAGCTGTTAGGCCATCTGAAAGCGCTTATCTCACTTACTTACATTTTCTGTAATATATCTCTTCTTGTACTTTAAATTTTGACCTTGATTACTACCAAAACAGCCATCAAGACAAGCATTTCAATGCTATTAGGGCCTTTTTTTGCTGTTGTCCTGTATTTGCTTCCTGAAACGTCAGATGTTCTACAACGCAGACTCTCTAAAGCTTTCGTACATTTACACAGATACAAGGATGCTATCTGACTCTTGGTGCTCCTCATATATAAACTATTTTTTGCTAGATTTGGAATGCAACTTGTCTGTAAATCAAATTCATGAAAATATCTTTACAGGCTTATATTTTTATTTCTCTTTGAATAAAAAGCTTAATAAATGAAATTTTGTAGACATCACTTATACTAAAGTAATACAGTAATACTTGTTGCTTTCCCATCTGAAGTCAAGAAGTGTGTGTAACTAACATGAAACCATAAATAATAAGTTAGTGGACATAAGCGGGATAAATTCTGGTTGCTCCTATCTCAGAACACACAACCTAGAATTGGGCAGGATTCAGGGAAGTCAACAGGTTGGAATAAGTTATGTACAATGAAAGATTATAAAGACAAAAAAAGTTTTAGCTAGGGAAAGAAGAGACTAGACAGGGTTTGTGGCAGAGATGTGTAAAGCAATATCTGAGAGAAGTAATGGTAACAGTTACTCATTTTCTCATTGCAGAAATACAATAGCTATTAAAATAGAAGGAAGTTGGTTTGAAATAGACATGAATTATTTTTAAGATAAGGTATAATTATGACATAAATGTAGTTAAAGTACATAAAACTGAAATATGCAGCTGTAACATTCAGTATGGTAAATATTTCAGTATAAGAATGCAAGGTGACAGAACAGTATGCGAGCCAAATGATAACTCTAAATTTCCTCTGTTCTTATATCCTTTCCTTTACATGGCTACTATTGAAAGAAGTATGCTGAGGCATACTAAATTCAACTAAATACAACATTCCAACTCTCCCCTCATCATTGCTGAATTAAAGGCAAATATCACCTCCTTCAATCTGTCCACCAAGACCTCCGGGTCTTTTTCTGCAAAACTACTTTCCAGCTGGATGACCTCCAGCATATACTGATGCATGAAGCACAGAGATGAAGCACATGGGGTGAAGATACTGACAGGATAGCATTAAGCTGAATTTAAAAAGAATGGTACTGAGAAGGGAAGTGGCCAATGGCAGACAGAATTCAACAAGCATTGTCGAGGGAGATCATTTAAATACAGACATGGGAGAGACTACAACGCTGTCCCATATCAATGCCTACCAAAGCACTCAAACTGTGTTTGATAAAACCTGAACAGGTGACAGGAAAATGAACTAACTCACATAGACAACCTTCTGACAGAGCTGAGACACACTTGCCCTACCCACTCTCTGAAGAGATTAGGTAGCTGCAATCTAGCACCAGGTTTTGCAGTAGAACAGACAAAGATGAGAAACAAAACAAATCCCAGCTCAACCAAAGGTAACCATTCATTTCTGAAGTTTGAAGCCTGGGTTAAGACTGCTGCTTTAAACTGATTTATAACAGTCATCAGCACTGGGCATGTTTTACAGCATTTTTGAAAGTAATTGATAACTTTACAATCATATTAGACACGCAAAAAAAATCTGAGTTCCATGCTCATTAGCTCCAAAAAGTTGAGGATATTTATACTTGCATGTCTTTAATTACCATGTACTGATAAGGAAATGAAACACTTTAAGAAAGATGTATTACCATCACAACTCCTTTGATGCAATACATTTTAGAACACAAAAGTAGATCAAGAGCTGGAATTCCTCTTGAAAATTACAGTAAATAGTAACCAATTAAAATACTTCCTTACAATGTATTCTCTTCTTCCATGCGTCATGTTACACAGAGAAGCATCAAGGTCCTTTGTTCTGAGGCTCTAAAAATAACTTTCTTAGAGAAACGGACAGAAGGCTTATTTTATCCACTACACTTTTACCTTTCTGCCTTAGATAATTAGGAACATTAGCTCATGATTTGCAATACCTTGGGACTAGGTATCATTAACAGGGGAATGTTCTTTAGTACCTTCAGGAAATGAAAGCCTTTGAGAGCAATCATGGTTAATCACTACCATGACAACATTATATACTGTCTGAAAATGGAGATGATACATAGCCAGGACACATTAAGTGACTCCGTATTTTACTTCCATTGTGAGCTTCCAATAAAAATGTTGTTTTAAAGTACCCTTTCACACAGCTTGCTTTCACTACATCACTACTCCTATCATTTCATTAATCCAGCCTCAACACAACTTTTAATCTCTCCTTGAACAGTCTTACTTTACTAACTTAAATTATTCTCTGCTTCATACTTTGCATCTTTTAAACTCTTCACTTGTTGCAGATTGATTATTTCCACACTTTATGCATGTTTCCACATGCAGCATTTAACCATGGAACCCCACAAGCTCAATTGAAAGCCATCCTGCACAGCTGAGATCGCAGTGGCATGTAATGTGTGAAACAGATGGTAAATTAAAAACTGAAGTACTTACATTCTTGAAACCTCTATATAAGATCTGAAGTTCCTTCTTTGTGAATTTACTCTGTGCTTCCAGCAGCTCAAGAGCTTCAGGTCTATGCCGTACTGTGGCCATTTCCATTTCATCTTCTACAGTGTCTGCAAAATGCAAGAGACAGAAAGGAAAAGCTCAACAAGAAATGCAGGATGTAGAAATATCTATCCTATGTAGGAAAAAAAGAAAATTAGATGACATTATTTTAAAGAATGGTTTTTGTGACCTAAAAGACATGTAAGTTCAAAATGAACGTGTCACAGGGAATCTGCTTTAATGGCTGCATAGAGTGTGGAACAGCAATGTCGATCCAGAGGTCTGGATATTATTACAATATTAATATAAATAACAGTAGACTGGAAAGCAGACATTCTACACGGACATACATGACATATTCAATAGGATTTTGCTGTTTCTACAACCCTCTGAACAACGAAAAGACCTTATAAAACCTTACTGTGTCTCAGCAATACTGGTGATATTCCCTCCGTCAGTCACTGGATCAGCCTGGGATTCCCAGTGTCCTCCTTTATGGATAACTTTGTAAAATGTTTGGGAAGGATATTCCACATTCAACAGTGGGCCTTACTTTGAGTACAGCATAAGAAATGATTATTCATGGTGAGCAGCTTTAAGGAGGTAACATGAAGATTTCAGCAAATATGAATGCCAATATACACCTTTAAGGCTCTAATATAGTTCTAAAAGGACATAATTAAAATGTGAGAGTCCAAAAAAATAGCTAAAGCAGTGTACAGTACAGATTTTCTTATACAGGAGTACAAGGCATACATTTGATCCAAATTTTGACATACCGTATATAGTACTCCTGATAAATTCAATCAAATCACTGCCTTTTGCTGGATCGTTATACCAGTTACAGAAATGTAACCTGAACAAAACATGTTTTTTTTTTCTGGTACAGTGCAATAATAACTTTCAATTGCTTGAGAGAAATCTGGCATCAGGAGATCAAGTTCAACTATCCCCAAAATGGACCACTTTAGAATAAAACCAGAGAATCACTGAATGGCTTGGGTTGGAAGGGACCTTGAAGGTCATCCAGTTCCAATCTCTCCACTATGAGAGGCACTCCACTAGAGCAGCTTGCTTGGAGCACAGAATCAGTATATATCAACAACTTGGATAAATGTTCAAAAAATTGTAGGACCTTGTCTTTTCCTCCTGGTAGAGAGAGGTTGTTGCTGGCACTCATCTCAGGAACCTAAGGATTAAAGAAATATTCAAGGTGTGGAAAGAAGAAAACAGATGTTTAAAAAAAAGAAAAAAAAGAAAAAAAGAAAAAGTGAGTTCCACTGCTTGAGAGGCTTCCAGTAGAGAATGGATGGTCCAATAGCAGAGGCAATATAATATCAAAAGTGTATGTAATTATTCCTATTTCAGTGGTGGTTTAACTGAAAGACGAGAAAGCAATGTTCTGCTGTAAACTCTAGGCAGGTATATTTCTCATACAGGCATGTCATCAAAATGGTAGTGTCTAACTGGTTTCCTAAACCATTAACAACGTCTTGTGAAAGAACCAAGACTGAAAGTGAAATGGCAGATCATCACATCGACTTAAAACTCAGATCAAGACTTTTAAACACATGGATATTTTTTTCTGATGTTATTAAGAATTTCTTTCATGTAACCAAACAGGAGAAATTAACAGATAATTTCTGAATTGTGTCTGAACTGAATTTAGCCAACTTCTGCTCCAAGCAAAGCCTCTGTGCAAGGCAGCATCCACAAGCCTAAATGTTACTGTTCTGAACACAGCATAGAAATATTTACGTACTTTGAAATACACAAACACCTGTACAATGGGCATAAATGCAGATTCCAAAATCTGACAATGTGCTGAACAGAGCCATTAATACAGTGAACCCATGACTTATATACATGCGTAGTTTTTTAAATATATTTTCTCACTATGCAGAAAATAAGTAATGTGGTGAGTTTAAGGCAGTGCATATAGTTAGGCTGAAACAGATATCTTCGATGAGCAACACTGGTTCAGCAGATTTTTCAGAGTAAACTGAAGTGTTTTAAGGTTGCAATGTGATGTGTAACATTAAATGATTTAGGTATTAAAAGGGCACAAGTTTTACAGAATAACTCTTTATTTTACTTCTACTCTGGTGATTTTTTTCTTCAGTTTCCTCCTAATAGCACTGTTCTTCAGTATGGATATGCTTCAGTTTCTGCTGGTTCCTTCTTACCCTAAATCCCAAGACTAGGTAAATATTTACCTTAAGAGCGTCAACTGTGAATTCTTTTCAGATAAGATGACCAAGGAGTAAGTAAGGACTTGTAACTTTAGAAAATCAGCAAGTCATTTCATAGATGTAATTATAGGTGCAAGATAAAAGGCATGGTGTTAGATAAAAAAAATGAACACCGTTAATGCTTTATGGCTTTTCAAATCTGATTCTTAGAACATCATTTTCTCCTGACAGTGTTCCTTGAGTACATTCATTTTATTAATTAAAGCTGCTTCTGTCAAAGTTTTTCAGTTTAGACTCAATGTAGAAAGATTTATTAGAATAAGAAATACAGTGCTAATCCATTTAGAATGACGTTTGCAGATGCCATAACAAAATGTTAAATTCAATCACTGAGCCAGACTGCAAATTTACAGAACACTTTGCATTTCATAACTCTTCTGAGAGACATGTTAGTTTTGTCTGGCTCTTTACTTTGGCTTTTTCCAAGTCATTATTTATGAGTGTAAGCATTACAGAGAATGTCTGTAGGAGGAACCAGACATGACATTTTTCATTTAATCTGACAGAAGATATTTTCCAAATCAGTATCACCCATAGACTTATCTGAGAATATCCACTGTGTATTGGCTTATGGGCAAGCTAAAACATATTTCTCTTCCATGCACTCGTGCGATGTTTCAGATGACTCAGACACAATCAATATTTTTGTGAAAAATTCCAATGTAAACACTATTGACAAAAAATCCACCACTTTACATCATCGTTTTGACGTCTGGTGATAGTTTTGAAAGATCAATATCTGAATTCACAGGATTCTAAGAACATTTCAGTTCTCACCTTTAATAAGAAAATTCATCTCATGTGGCAGTGCAGTTCTATACAGTTATCAAAGCATAATTAAATTGTTCCAGAGTTAAGAATCTGTCTTCCCAATGTTTGGAAAGCCTAACAAAATTCCTGAGCTACATTTTAATTCTCCTTGAGAACATCCAGGGTTTATTTTGCAAGGTTACCGAAGCTTTGCCATCATATTTTTAAGGAATTTTCTCTTCTGTATTCATTATAAAATAACTATAACGACATCATATAGATATGCAGCAGAAATTTTCTCAGGTGTATAAAATATGAACTTGAGAATAAATATTGTTGAAATGCCACTTTTCTATGTCATGAGTTACACAGACTTTAAATTTATTATCATTTAGAGAGATAGGGACTTACAGGGAAAAAAGGTCTCTATTTGTGAATCATCCAATTACCTAGAGGGATATCTACAAGCTCTTCTAGAAGTTAAATGAATAAATGTAATAAACATAAGGCCAAATATATGTGCCACAGAAAGTGATGCCTGTATGTCCTTATTGATGAACATTTCTACAGTGTTTAATGATTTGGTAAAAATGTAGAAGACTACAGTGTGGTGGCAATATTAGTTTTCTGTTAATGAAAAGATTCAGTGTAACAGTCTTATCACACTCCATTTCCGTAGCACCTTACTGACACAAACAGTGCAAAAATAAGATCAGTGGGAGCTTTCTGGTAATATGCCAACCACGCTGATTAATATACTATAGCATTCATGAGTTACTTGTTGTCTCTCTCTCAAAAAAAAAAAAAAAAAATTAACACTTATGGCTACCATCACCCAGGCAAGAAAAAAACACACACTTCAACATGTGCAATTAAAATGTGTGAAAATACATCTATTTTTCAAGAGAAGTTTTGTAATTTCTACAACATTAATGAAAAATTCATCATTTCAGTTCTTTAGTTTCTTCAATTTAAGTTAAGAACTCTTTTTTCACATTTTTCACAAAGTGCTAATATATCTCAGCTGAAAAAGAGAAACAAGTTCATATTTACTTCTTAATATATTAAATAAATAATCATATGGGTGTCATTAATGAGTTATCTTCCAGCTAAACAGTAGAGACAGTTTTTAAGGCATTTGCTACAGGAGCTATGCTTTGAACCTTCCATCACATATTAAATAACAAAATGGTAAAATCAATGCGAAAAACAGACATACTCCTTAAATAATGATAAAAACGAATCAAAATTTAGGGCATACCTGTAAAAATTGTGCATATACGTTTGCCTGTACAGATCCCAAATTTCATCTCCCTTATTTATTTAATAATGGCATGCATACACACTATTCCAAAACCAATCTTAAGTCTAGACTTACCAGTCTAAAATACACAAATAAGAAAAAGCACTCTGAGGATGTACTGTTGAATGGGAAGGCTGAAATAAGTTTTTATCTTTATTATTAAAATAACCCTTTTCTGCACATATTCAATTGCAATACACAACTGCATATGCAACTGCAAATTAAGGGTTGGCAGTTCTTCAACAAAATACTTGCTTTAAATCTATTCCTAGTAAATTTTCTAAGGAATTCATATTATGTGGTGGTCATTGTAGGTAGTTCTGACTTCATTCCCAGTACATCAGGAATGTTGTTTCTTTCATGCCAGAAGAAATCAAATAGCACATTATGTCAAAATACAAAAACAACAATGTACATCTACAATTTAATGTAATATTTTCATTTAATGTAATATTCTCATTTAAAACAACATCTCATTATGTACAAGAGCACAGAGGAAAATGTCGACTTCATCTTTTCTTTTTACTACTTGGTTCTTAAATATGAAACAACTAATGCAAGTTCTACCTTGTCTTCTCTTTCGGCTTGTAAAAATACTTTCAGCTCAAAAAAGCACATTTTGCATGGTCAGAGATTTTGAGAAAATTTAAATATTTTCATGTTACCTGTATAGACAAAAATGTCGCACAGAGATGTGCAAGGAATAAGAACATGTCGCTCTCCAAACATCAGACAAAGGAATAAAACCTTCCATTTCTTTTTA